ATCGCCCAGACTGGAGTGCAGTGGCCGTTCCCGGCCACTGCAGCCTCAACCTGCTGGGCTCTGGCGATCCTTCCACCTTAGCCTTCCAAGTAGCTGGAACTACAGGCGCACGCTACCATGCCCAGCTAATTTTTTTGATTTATTGTAGAGATGAGGTCTCGCCAAGTTGCCCAGGTGGGTCTGGAACCCGCGGGCTCAGGCAATCAACTCACCTCAGCCTCCCAAAGCACGGGATTACAGGCTGAGCCACTGAGCTCAGCAGACCAGGCATTTTTTTAATACCCTTTGCTCAGTATAAGTGTGTACGTTTGTAAATACATACAGATTTCCCGCTTTTTGTTTGTGTTTCAGCTCTCAATACCTGGTATAACCTGGAAATATTTTTATTTCATTAAACACATAAAATGGGTTTATTTGGAATGGGCTATAGAAGAAAAAGCATTACTCAGCCCTTCTCTAGAGATGTGCTCTCACAGGCAGTAAAGGAGAAACCCGAGGAGTGAGGCCCCAGGGAGAGCCGGTGTCTGGTTTGTTTTTAGGTTGTTTCTTTAGAGACAGTGTCTCACTCTGTTGCTCAGACTAGAGTGCAGTGGCTGTCCCTAGACGTGATTATAGCATCCTGTGGCCTCAGCCTCCTGAGTTGCGACTACAGATGTTCGTCACTGTACCCATCTAGTACCTGACTTTAAAAAGAGAGTTTGGAGCTGGGCTCGGTGGCTCAGCCTGTAATCCCGCACCTTTGGGAAGCTGAGGTGAGTGGATTGCCTGAGTCCGCGGGTTCGAGACCCGCCTGGCCAGCTTGGCGAGACCTCATCTCTACAATAAATCAAAATGAGCTGGGTGTGGTAGCGTGTGCCTGTAGTTCCGGCTACTCGGAAGGCTGAGGCGGAAGTGTCGCCGGAGCCCAGCAGGTTGAGGCTGCAGTGGCTGCTCCCAGCCACTGCACTCCAATCTTGGCGACAGAGTGAGACTCCAACTCAAAAAAAAAAAAAGGGAATTTGGGGGTCCTCTCTTCTACATCGGGGAGGTGAATAGCTGTCTCTCTATTCTTTCTAAATGGACTATATTTTTCCAAAAAAAAAAGGAATTTGGTTAGCCTATGTAATGATACCATGCATGCTGAAAGGTTCAGAGCAGTGTTAGGGATAGCGATGGTGCCGCCCCTGTGGGGTAGGCCTTCTCTCCACTCTCACAAAGCTGTTTTGACTGGCACT